TGAAGACTACTGATATGTACAACTCTTCATCTGAAAGATACCTTAGAGGACACCTGGGTGGCTCAGTTGGTTAAGCGGCTGCCTTCAGCTCAGGTCATGATCCTAGAGTCTAGGATCGAGTCCCACATTGGGCTCTCTGCTCAACAGGGAGTCTGCTTCTCCCGCTCCCACTCCCCTTCTCGTGCTCTCTCCGTCTCTCTCATTTTCTCTCTCTCAAATAAATAAAATCTTAAAAAAAAAAAAAAAAAAACCTTAGGACATTTCAAGTTCAGTGAAACAGTTTCATATTCAGTTACACAGTGGGTTTAAAGCTTATCTCCTATACACACACTCAGTTGCATGCAGTGAATGCCACTGCTAATAAGAGTAAAGGTGTATGTGTGCACTAAAATTTAGGGCTATAATCTGACACCGTGTAGTTCTCCTAAACCAGAATTTCTGATATCAGTAGATTACAAATGTCTGTTCTGTGTCTGTTTGATATATACCTTAGCCTCACCCACTGTTCTCTCTGCCAATTCTATCACATCTCTGTTCTGGCCACCTCATCTCACTGTGGAATGACTCACTGTGATAGTCTTATAGTCTGATTCTGACTCTGATCAGAATTGCCATTCTTCAAATTATCATCTAAAACACGGTCTGTCTAAAAATCAGACAAACTTTTCACTAATAATGTACAAGAATATACTTCAAATTTTTACCTTCAAATTTTTACCTCCATTTTAAATGGTAAAAATTATTTCATAGTAATTCTAATTTTGGAAATGCCAAACTCTAACACCTCTGCTATTAGAATTAGGACAATTGGTAGTTGTCTTTATTACAATTTTATGGTGTTATATCCTACACTATGACAGAGTGGCCTTAACAACCAACAGAACAAGTTGTTCTTGCTCTCTTAATTAATGTATGAAAACAAGGATTACCATTAATTACTTTTAAAAAATCCTCTTTGACAATTGTTTTCCAGAATTCCATCTTCATCTAATACAACAGTTACTTGAGGAAGCAATTTATAACTTTCTTCTTGAAGGTTTTAACATAATCATGTTGCTTAAAAGAAACCACTATAAGGATTTTTTTTAAAGATTTTATTTATTTACCTGAGACAGAGAGACATCACAAGCAAGGGGAGGGGAAGAGCTAGACGCAGACTCCCCTACAGAGCAGGGAGCCCCATGTGAGACTAGATCCTAGGACCCTGGGATCATGACCTGAGCTGAAGGCAGATGCTTAACCGACTGGGCCACCCATGTGCCCAGGATTTATTTGATTTAAAAAAGAAAGAAGAAGAAGAAGGAGGAGGAGGAGGAGAAGAAGGAGGAGAAAAACAAACAAACATGATATCAATGATTCGAATGTTTTCCAAATTTAAAATAATTACATCAAATCTCCATGATAGAACTTCGAAGCTATGACTACTCATTAATTTTGTTACTGAAATAAACACTCAGATTTGTTTCCTGAGGAAGCTCAGACCTTACACTTAGGTATTCCATTCTGCCTTGATAACTTTAAGAGGTATTTTGTTAAGATCTTCATTTTTTCCAGAAAGGACTTAACCCTTCCCTATGCCTCACTGATTACTAAAGCATGTATATCTGCCATTAACATGCCTACAAAATCTCCATCCCCTAATTTCTTGAGTTGTGGAAATTTCATTTGCCATTCAATAGAATCTCATCTTGTCATGTAAAATAACCTTGAATTTCCGAATGTTCCAAATACCAGTTATCAAATACCTGATGTAATTAATAAAACATGTATGAAAGATTTCCTAGAGAACATATAATCTATCCATTTATCTGAAACTTCTAAATTTTATATTTCATATAAAATTTATATACATATTCATTATAAACAGAAAAATAAAAATATCAACCAAATGCCTAGCTCAACTGATTTTGTTAAATAATATTTTATTAGTTTTAAAATGATTAGCATAAATCATAGTAAATGATATAGGTATTAATTGTTTTGACCTTGCTAATCATTTTGCAATTTTATATATAAGTAAATAAATATATACCCCACATATATATCAAATTATCACATTGTGCTCTTTAAATGTGTACAATTATATTTATTAATTATTCCTCAATAAGGTTAAAAATAATTAATTTTTTAAAAGCATTATAAGGTAGTACAGGAAGATTAAAATGAAGAACTATATAAAAAAGTCTATTGTGAAAAAAAGTCTATTCTGGATTGAGTAAGTCAATTAGCATATAGTATTAATATGTGAAATTAACCTTTAGCCATGTGATGGAATATTTTGCAGTCATGAATTCTCTAATAAAGGTTTAATGGGAAGGGAAAATCTCTATAATAATAGTAAAAATTACCAACCTGCTAAGCTAGTTCTAAAAACCACATTTAACTCTTACAATGATCATTGTTTTTTAAAACTTCTAAACATTTTTTCCTCTCATTTGTAGGAATATGTTAGAAGATATTTTTCAACTTTTCAATCAGTTTCTTTTAAAAAGAATTCATTTTTTCTTGTCCACTTGTGTATTCTCTTCCCACATTTCATTGGCTTTTTTGGGAAGGAACTAAAAATAGACTGAGTTGTATTTCCTGTAAATTGGGTGTTAATCCTTCTAAAGTTTCATTCATGATACTAAGCTGCAATCATATCATTTAATCCTTTAATTATGAATGCATTATACTTTTTTATTAAAAAAGTTTTTTTCTTAAAAATTTTTAAAAATAAAGATAACTCATTTTTTAAGAAGAGAAATATTTTTTTTCTCAGTTCTCAATATCAGGAAATATGTTTTTCTTTAAAAATAAGTTTGGTTTTTTGGGGTTTAATGTTTGTTTTCATTCTGCTTTCCTTATATCTTTAACTGATGATGTCTCCATTTGGTGGGGGGGAGGCTATTACAACCAAATTTGCCAAACGCCTCCATGAGTAAAATCTTCTCTCAGCCTCAATTTTTTTTTTTTTTGGCTTTAGAATTTTTCTATATTTTTGTAATTCTAACTCTTTGAGATGACTGTTATTGCTCTTACTTTACAAAATGAAAATTTTCTAATCACTGCAACATCTTTTTCAGATAAAGCAGGACCTTGATAAGTGGCAAATCAGGTGAATCAATATATCCAACCTGGCAGAATGCTGCCCCAACAAAATGAGCTGAGTAATGGCCATATGGATTCACTGTCTTCTCACACCCATAGGACATTTGACTCTTGGTGACAGCTTCGACTATACTAACTCAGGAAGAGTAATGCCCAACTCCATATCATAACTTCTGGATGGCCTTTTCCAGGCTTTTGCTATATTTTATTAGACCTAAAGGTTCTCTCTGTTTCGCAAGAAAACATGAAGTGTAAATCAATGGCACCACTTATCACTATTATTCTTGGTCAATGGTCAACAAATAAGTTTCTTGGAGCATTTGTCCTACAGTTTGTCCTTATCTTTTGATAATCCACTAAATTTCCATTTCCCTGATGGAGTTTATTCTTCTTCATTCCTACACTCCTCTAACACTGTTGCTCCAATGTCAACATCTTCAACTGTGCTCTTAACTTTTTTTGTCCAAAAGTTTCCTTTAACTTTATTTCTTAACCAAGCAAACTGATTCCTTTTCAGTCCACTCAAATAGAGGCCCTTTATTTTCTCATGTTCCATATACCTCATGTTGGGATATAGGATCACTTTGTCTCTTATTCTTAAACTGTTTCTTCATCCTTTTGCAAAATTCACTGTTCTTTGAGGATTGTGCCATCTTGATATACTTCTATTTACAGTTCTCCATGGTGTAATCATTTTCTTTTATGGATATTATTTTTATTCATCTACCAGTTTCATACCTGATCTACAGAATCCCTCTCTAATCCATCAGAATGCTTTCATATACTTGATAAAAATTATCATCTCCTAGAAATAACTTTCTTTTTGGTCATTTATCCTATAGTCACATGCTGGATCATGGAACTAAAACATCCTGTAGTGTTTAAATATCTTAATCTCTAACCATAGCCTTTTATCATCACATGCTAAGCCTTTCTTTATGTACAAGTGGTATTCATGAACATTTCTTTTTCATTATTTTAATTTCCTTGCCCTTCTTTCATTTTTAACTTTCCAAGAAATACCAATTTATGTTTAAAATAACTCTACTTAACTTCTCTAAACCTGTCATTGTACAATCCAATGCTGATGGAAAAAGCCAAATAGGTAGTACTATACCATACATTCGTAAACACTAATAACAACTAGTTCTTAATCACCTTTTTTTATGATCCTCAAGATACTTTTATTTTGTCTACTGTTCGTAACGACTTCAAGTCATTTCAAACTAGATCCTTTTCTTTCCTTTCCTCCCTATAAATTTGTGTACTTCGTATGTAAAAGAACCAATAAAATGAATAATAAAGGAATTCCCCAAAGTTCTCATACTCATATTGATAACCTCAGTTCTCCTCCCTTCCCTCTGCAACAAGGAAGTGTTTGTCCCTTTAATTAAAGCACAATACTTCTACCTGCACTATGATTTATTCTATCCATCTCCTTTCAAGAAACATTAACTGCCATTGGTCCCTGCTTTCCTAGAACACAAAATCTTTTATTTCTACTGTACTCAAAACAAATTATTTTAAAAAGCCCTTCTGATTTTCAAATGAAATAGCATAGTGGGATACAAAATAGGATAACCTCAGGGCACATGGGTGGCTCAGTGGATTAAGCCTCTGCCTTCGGCTGAGGTCATGATCTTGGAGTCCTGGGATCAGGGTGAGCACTGGTCTCTCTGCTCTGCAGGGAGCCTGCCTCCCCCTCTCTCTCTGCCTATCTACTTGTGATCACTCTCTGTCAAATAAATAAACAAAATCTTAAAAAAAAAAAAAAGTAGGGTAACCTCCAGTGTTACATTTAATTCAAAAACTGCACACACACACACTTTTATGTATATTTATGTATTTTAATTTATTTACATATATATTATATACTTCATACACATATGTGTATATATATATGAATTCCTAAATCATAAATCTCATAAATAATTGCAAAATAATATATACATGAGTATACTGCCAGTTTTCCATTATTCTGCAACTATTTTTCAATTAGCAATAATTGCGTCTTGGATAAACCTCATTGGCTACGATACTGGCACTGCGCAAAGCTTTTTCTGCAACTATTTTTAAAATTTATTGAGAGTCTACTACATACCAATAACTCTGAAAATTGATCGTAATTCAAAGATAAGAAAATTGACAAAAGCATGGAGTCATTTGGGGCAGAAATTTTCATTTTTATCTCCATACCAGCATTCTCCCTAACATTCATGATATTTCTTTATGGATCCTACTTTCTTCTGTCTTCTAGAGTCAGACATCACCTACTTTATCATTTTAAAGACAATCTCCTCTACGTAATTCCCTTTGCCATTGCTAGTCCATAGAGTACATTCATTACCTGAAAATGTCATTAATTTATTAATGAACAATATATTAGTTGCAAATTTCTGCATAATGAATTACCACAAATTTCATGGTTTAAATAAACACACATTTTGGTACTCTGCTTCTGTATCTCCGATGTCTATAATCAAGGTATCAGCCAAAGCTGGGAGCTCCTTTAAGGCTATTCTAAAGAAAGATCAGCTTCCAACCTAACATGGTGAACTGGCAGGATTCAGTTGGTTGAAGTCTTCAGGAGTGCAGGACTCGTTGTTTTGCTAGCTATCAGCAGGACCTTCTCCCCACTTCCTAGCTGGCTGTTGGACAGAGGTAACTTCAATTCCTGATCACATGGACCTCTCAACTGGGGCCATTTGCATTCTAAAAACATGAAAAACAAAAAGATAATAAAGCAAGTCACTAGCAAGTTGCAAATTATGTAATACAATGTTGAAGGAAATATGACATCACCTTTGTCATTGTCTACTGGTTAGACTAAGCAACAGGTGCTTCCAGTACTCAGAGAGAGGAAATGCAACAAGGTCATGGGTGGTAGAATTTGGGGTAACTAGAGAGGAAAACATCTTACAGACTGGCACACATACTACTAAGCATTCATTTATCCTTTCATAAAAATAGTGTTGGTTAAAGAAACTTGGATCTAAGTTATTGGAGGGCATATATGTTGTGTATGTCTTATAATATTTTTGAAAATCCATTTGAAATTAGATGACTTAATATATACCATTGTAGATTAGTAGTATTTGAATTTAGCTTATTTAGTGCAGAAAAAGGGCTGAAACAATGCTCTATAGATCTTTCACAGGATCTATAATGTGCTGATTTTCCAAAATTGATAAATAATAAGCCAGGCCAGTTTAGTGGAACCTTGAGAGCTGTTTAAGAATAAAAATACTAGACCAAGCATCCTATTTTAAAAGAATATATTACACATAATTTACCCACAACTACCTCTCATTTTATGTGACATTTAAGCCTTTTTGGTTTTTTGGCTATCAAAGTAAATCGTTTTACTTATTCCAGATTCAGGGCATCTGCTATGCCACCAAGTTCTGTTGATTGCAATATAAAATTCTCAGCCTGAGTTATCTAAGTAGTTGTATAAGAGAATAAGGAAGAAGATAATTAATAGAATATGAGAACTAGACAGCTAACCCTCTTAATATTATTTGTGAAAGCTCTGGACAGACTGCTGTTTGACCTTCTTAAATGAGCAGCTTGCTTTCAACACCCACAACTGATGTACATACATGATCACTTGGCTGTCAATACCCATAACCATCTGTTGTGATGGCAACAGTCCTGCTCTCAAAATGGTGTTCCAGTTTAGACAGCAGGTGCCAACTAAGTATATTGGCAGCCTGAAATTCTGAAAATGCTTCCTCTTGTTCTACAGAAAGCAATACCACATTAACACCCACATGGCTTCTTACCTCCACACCACCTGTTCATTATTTTTAGGCCAAAAATATCCATGAGAAAGGCCAATAGTGAACAGTTGACGAAACAACTGTGGGCACCAATGGGATAATACAAAGCACAGCATGCTGTTGTTTTTATAAGAGACAGTATGGACGGAAAAAGCACAGAAACATGGGCATGAAAAGTTGCAGTACCTAATGATCATTTTAAGAATAACGAATCCAAGAGTATAAGGTATTCACTATAACATTATCCTTATTATTGTTTCTATTGGTGGGGAATAACTGCCTGCAAATATCAGTAGTCTAATGGAAATTCTCTTCCTTATATGCAGTGGTCCTACTGTGTTTGTGTGTGTGTGTGTGTGTGTGTGTATGTGTGTGTGTGTGCACATAGCGCCCAAGTGCACTTTTTTTTGCAACAAAATTACAAAGGAAATGAAAAAAAGGTAAAATAAGACAAAAACAATTACAATGAAGTTCAATAATTCTGGCATTACTTGGTTTTGCAAAGGAGAGTACATATCTAAAGTTGTTCCCAATATTCTCTTCTATCTTCCCTCTTCATACACAATTTTCAAGGCCATAATAATTATGGACAGCTGTTATTATCTGAAATGTAAAAGTCCCCCATTTAGTATAGCTAAAGGGAGGGGGAAAAAAACTACTCTTTGCAGTTGTTTCATAATTTCTTTACAAAAATTGCCAAACTTGCTTTGTCGTGACCTTGCCTCACATTTGTAGAGTAAAAGCCATTCATCAAACAGTCATCACTACTTAATCCATTACCAAGTCTACAAATTTGCCTTAATTACCCACTTCTTTTCTCCTCTTATACAAGATCAAACCCTCCACTTGTGTTCTTTCCACCATTTTATGACTGACTTTCATTAATTATTCACCCCTGCTCTTGCACCTTCAACCCTCCTTTCTATGGGGTCAGTCTATCAGCTTTGTAAGTGTGCAATGATATACCTCCTTGTAAAGCAAGCTAAAACTGTCCTGACCCAATATCTGGTTCCTGCCCATCGTTTACTCTCCCAGCACAGAAACTGTCTGAAAGAGTGTTGTCCCACAATATCTCTACTCCACCACCTTGCTTCTAACACTCAGTCTATCCCAATCATAATTTGGCATATATCGTTGAACAAAGCTGTTCTCACTAACATTTTCTAACATTCCAAGTTCCTAAGTCTAATATGTGTTTTTCTCTCCTCATTTTACAACCTTCTACAGAGTTGATTACTCCTACTTTTTTAAAATGCATTTTTCTTTTTTTCCCCCATTCACATTATTACTACAGACCACACCTCAGAAATCCCTTCCCTAATTGCTTTATGGGCCCCTTTATTTTTCCTCATAAATCTCTTAAGTTTCAGATAAGTATGTTTATTTGTAGTTGTCATTTCCAAGTGAATGCCCATTTTTTCTGGGAGAAGAGTGATACTCTTCATGACCAAGTAGTTAATTCTTCTGTAGATGTACATTTGGAGAAAAGTCACCACCTGGAACGTATTTGTCTCCACTCTTCACCTGGTTAATTCATACTCATTTTTCAGGTCTCAGCTTTCTGTTCTTCCACTCAAAATGTATAATTTGATCATTTGCTTTTATTCTAATTTTCTGTGTGTTTCCTTCATGAAATATATCATCATGAGTGTTCTGTGAGATTTGCTCTTTTCTCTATGTCTGAACCCAGTGAATGCCATGGTATATATTAGAATCTCAATAAGTAAAGTTGTTTTTTTTTTTTTTTAAGATTTTGTACTTATTTATTTGTCAGAGAGAGCAGAAGCACAGAGAGAAACAGGCAGAGCAGGCAGAGGGAGAAGCAGGTTCCCTGCTGAGCAAGGAGCCTGATGTGGGACTCTATCCCAGGACCCTGGGATCATAATCTGAGCTGAAGGCAGATACTTGACTGAGCCACCCAGGCATCCCACAATAAGTAAAGTTGAAAATAAATATAAATTGTTTAAATAGTTTAAAATATGGTTAATATATTTTACTTCAAACTCCGTTTTGGTGCCCAGATGAAGGAAGAGCGGAAGAATATTTAGCCATACAAGAAAAAGGGGATCAGTGAGGAGAAAATGCCTTACCCTTCTTAATAAGGTATTACAAACTACAAGCTCAAAATCTTTTTCTCCACTATTTCAGTGTTATTTATTTGATATCTAGTAGTTAGTATGATTTTAATATGTTCTTTTGCACATTGTCATATTCAGAATTTCCTCTTTCTATTTATTATTTTCAGTCTTAGCATATTTTTAAATATTTGTCAGGATATATTCTGATTTTAAGATATGAATAAATTTTTGAAATCAAGTTTGATCTACACAAAATTGTCTTTTCCTTGGCTGTAATTCTGATAAAAGAACTAAGGGAATATATCTTATTATTAATTTAAAAAGCATAAGCTTTGGCAAAAAAAGCAATTATTTGATACATTTTTAAAACGTGTAACAAGGGATCCTTGAGTGGATCAATTGGTTTAGTGTCTGCCTCCATCTAAGGTCATGATCCCAGGGTGCTGGGATCCAGTCCCCCATTGAGTTCCTTGCTCAGTTCCTTGCTTGATTCTCCTTCTGTCTGCCACTTCCCCTGCTTGTGCTCTCTCTCATTCTGACAAAGAAATAAATGTAACAACAGGCAGTTGTGGTGTGCCTGATTTAAAATATGTGACCATTTTCAGGACTATACATTAGTGGCTATTCTCATAGCATCAATGAAGAAAACCTGTGTGTTAATCATGACTAGCACCAAGTATCATCCAAATTGATAGAATCAAATGCTTATGGTTAGTAAATAATAAACAATTTCAATATATATTTAATATGTAAGTTTGGTAGATGAAGAAATTTTCTTAAAAATATAGAGTGGAGAAGAGCACAAAATTTTACTCTCCTTCCTAAATATTCAGAATAATATAGGGAGAAATTATGACTGTAATTTTCATCATATTACTTTGTCATTGTTTGTGACCTATAAAATGTAATCAAGATGAGGAACGCTAGGTCAAGGAGTTAGAAGAATGAGCTACTGAGATTGACTTTGATTCTGACCAATCATAGATTCCAAACCAAATCCCTTAAACATTTGGAATCTTAATATCCTCATTTGTAAAATAAAACTGATGATGAAACTAATGATTACTGACACAATTGATGGCTAAAATCCCTTATGAGGTGAAAATCATAAACCTACAGATTCAACAAGCTAAACAAATGCTAACACAGATAAAACTAATCTAGACTGACAAAAAACAGATATTAAATAAATGCTA